TGTGTGTATATAGTGTATGTAGGGAGAGATACTGCATTTTAAAAAATGAAGATGAATGGAGATGTTCATTGCAGCATTGTTTATAAGGTGGCTGAGAGATAAAGGCTACCTAGCTGTTCACCACCAGGGCATTGCTTAAATTCAATAGAGTGGGTGTACAATATAGAATTATAACTATAAGCTAGATATGCATCCAGTAATATGCACATTTTTAAATCTGCAGACTGAAAATAAAAAGCCTTCTAAACAGAATGAGATATTGTGCACATTATTCATTAAATTGAAACACATGCCACACATAAAATAACATGGCATCACTTATAAGGAAACATTTACATATTTAATATGTCAGAGTCATTGTCTAGGATGTGGTGGAAAATAAGAATAACTTTTAAAAATCTTGTTGGAAGAAGGTGATGGCTCAAATAAGATTTCCTCCCTCCCTGTCCCTCTTTACCTTTTCCCCTTCTTTTCTCCCTTCCTCCAACAGTTGGTAATTGGATGATGGAATGAACAAGATTCTGTGTCAAGTGCTGTGGAGGAAATAAAGATGATTTCCCCATTGGCTTGGCCTTCAAGAACCTTAGGCAAGGACCTAAGTTGAATACACCAGAAGCCTTAGTAACAATACTCTGTCCCAGAGTTCAGACTCACAAACACATTCCTGCTCTGCTTAAAATCAACAAATCCTCTTTTGGATGTGTAAGAGCTCTTAAGGGTGACAGCAACAGTCAGTAAAGTAAATAAGTTACGTGACTGAGGCCAGAAGTGTCACACTGCTGTCTCTTTCCTTAGCAGGCTTTTCTGATAATACATATGACATAGCTCTCAAATGCAAATGCCTGTAGGGAACAGGAGGAAATACAAATGGAAAAAGAAGGTCAAATGTAAGAGAGCAGGGAGTGGTGGGGACTGTGACAAAATGGAGTCCATGTACCTTGACTTAATTGGGCAGCCACTGTTCAGTGCCAGTTGGTTACTGCCACGCAAGAATAAGGCAATACTCTTGTAGTTTCAACAAAAGCTGAAAATCTAGATTTTTATGTGAAATTGTCTCATTTTTAAATATTGGCAACTACCTCAAATATTTTTAAACCCCAGGGAGTGGGGGAAACAATTCACTTTGTTTTTAACCAGATTTGGTCAGTTGGCTAACAATTTGCTACTTCTAATACTCTCATAGCATGTGGATATCTGGAGACTAGTGATATTTTTTAACCTCATTGTTTATTTTTTTAACCTTTAATTATTTGCCCACACCCAAAAGAATGAAGGGAATTAGTTTAGACAAGATGCAAATTTCTGGCACCTGTAGCCAGATAACAGCTACAATGTCTGCCATTTGCTAAGCACCATACGATGCGCTTTGATGTATCAGAGGGAGCAAGACAGCTAGGCCGCTATCCTGGAGTGCCTGTGGCGTTTGAGAAACAAAAAAACAGGTACCAGGATGCACGTATATGTGGGGACATTTTAGGACTCAACATTGATGTAAACATTGTGTGTATGTGTCTGTGTGTGTGTGTACATATATATACACACATATATGTGTAGTAGAGAGAGAATATAAACATGTAAACACTAGAGCTGATTCGTGTGTGTGTTAGCCCGTTTTGCATTGCTATGAAGGAATACCTGATACTGAGTAATTTATTTTTAAAAAAGCAGTTTATTTGGCTCACGGTTCTGCAGGTGGTACTAGCATGGCATCAGCATCTGCTCAGCTTCTGGTGAGGCCTTGGGAAGCTGTTACAGTGGACGGTGAAGGGCCAGCAGGCACATCGCACAGTGACAGAAGGAGCAAGAGAGATGCCCGGCTCTTTTAAACAACTAGTTCTCCTGTGAACTAATAGAACAAGAGCTCACTCATACCATGGAGAGGGCACCAAGCCATTCATGAGGGATCCACCCCTATGACCCAAATTCCTGCCACAACACTGGGGATCACATCACGTTTTAACATGAGAGTTGAAGGGGACAAAGCCCAAACCATATCAGGGTGGGATTCTCTCATCAGATCAAAACGTCCTCATACAGAAAGTATTTCCTATGTGCAAGCCCTGAGATAAGGGCTTTCTTATTTAAAAATTAAGTGTTCCAGGCATACAAAGATGGATAAAACATACAAAAATAGGGTACCCGGCATCCTGCTTACCTGATAGAGGGGTTGGCAAAGTTTTGCTGCCAGATACTAAATACCTTCGGCTCTGCAGGCCACACATGGTCTCTGTTGAAACTACTCCACTTAACACTGTGGTGTGAAAGTAACCACAGACAGGATAGTAAACCAGTGAGCAGGGCAGTGTTCCAATAAAAGTTTACCTATGGACACTGAAACGTGAAATTCGCATCATTTTCACATATTATGAAATAGTATCCTTCTTTTGATTATTTTGCAACCGTTTAAAAATGTGAAAGCCGTTCCTGACTCACGGGTCACACAAAAACAGTTGTGGGCTGGATTTGGCTTACGGGCCATAGGTAGTGTCAGCCCCTGAATTAAAACACTACACAGTCGAAGCCCCCCAGGTGCCACTTCCAAAATTATATCCCCTCCTACCCCCAGAGTTAGCCTTTCTCTTGAAAACAGTGTTGATCATTCCTGAGTGTAATTTTCTTTTTGTGGAATGCATCTGTGTCCATTAACAGTACAGTTGGTTCCAATCCAAGGATTCAGTTAACTACAAATCAAAAATATTCAGGGGGTGGGGTGAGCACAGTGGGTCACGCCCCTGAGGCCAGGAGTTCAAGACCAGTTTGGCCAACATGGCAAAACCCCATCTCTGCTAAAAATACAAAAATTAGCTGGGTGTGGTGGTGTGTACCTGTAATCCCAGCTACTCGGGAGGCTGAGGTAGGAGAATCACTTGAACCTGGGAGGCAGAGGTTGCAGTGAGCCCGGATTGTGCCACTATACTCCAGCCTGGAAGACAGAACAAGATTTTTTATATATATATTTTAATATATATATATATTTTAATATATATATTTAAATATATATATATTTTAATATATATATTCGGGGCAAAAAAATATAAGAATAAAAATATATATTTTAAAACAGTGCATATAACTGTTTACATAGTGTTTACATTGCATTGGACATTATAAGTAACCTAGAGATTATTTAGAGTATGTGGGAGGATGTATGTGGGTTATGTGCAAATACTCTACCATTTTTTATAAGGGACTTGAGCACCTGCCAATTTTGGTGTCCATGGCAGGGGGCGGGAATGGCTCCTGGGATACTGAGGGGTGGCTGTATTTTTGAACTTTATTTTGAATAAGCATTTAAGTTGCTATTAAAATAGTACTTTTTTTTTTTTTTTACATGAATCACCTTTTTTAATCTTCACCATGACCGTTTTCCAGATGAGAAAGCTTTTGACTGAGAGCAGTTTGGTACCTTGCTCAAAGTAGTGGGTAGCCCACTGGGATTTGAATTTGCAACCTTTTTACAACAGGATCTGAGTTTATAAGCAACACACCACCGATCGCTACATTGTGTTTCATTAACCGAATAATAACTGATCTTGCCAAGGATGACCTTGTGATAATGATGTGCTCACAATAAATTTAGCCTTTCTCTAAAGACAACTGTGGGTTAAATGTTACTGGTTGTAGTTTAGACCTTGGAAAATTGCTACACCATGTATAGTAGTGTGTGCATTAACCAGAAACCTCATTTTCTAAACCCAGTGGGTGGGAGTTTATTTATTAATATTTATTTTGAGACAGGGTCTCACTCTGTCACTGAGGCTGGAATGCAGTGGCACGATTACAGCTCACTGCACCCTCCATCTCCCCTGGCTCAGGTGATCCTCCTACCTCAGCCTCTTGAGTAGATGGGACCACAGGCATGTGCCACAATGCCCAGTTAACTTTTTTGTATTTTTCGTAGAGATGGGGTTTCGCCATGTTGCGTAGGTTGGTCTCGAACTCCTGGGCTCAAGTGATCTGCCACCTCGGCCTCCCAAAGTGTTGGAATTGAAGGCATGAGCCACTGCGCCCAGCCAGAATTTAGAAGGAGCGACTACCAACATGGTGCAAGAATTGGAAATATTTTCAATTAAAACATGAGAAAGACCAAAGGAGACTTCATCCCTGCTCTCCTCTGCCCATCCCCCATAGCATATTATAAAAATCATGGGTAATTCAGGATCCAGTATGTTCTCTCTTGGTCAGGACCACAGTGATGAACTGTGGAGTATTGCCACCTAGAGAGCTGTTAATGATGCTGATGCCTTTTGAGCTTTTCTCCGTCCGTGCGAGTAGTACCATGTTTGTTTGTTTTGAGATGGAGTCTTATTCTGTCGCCAGGCTGGAGTGCAGTGGCGCGATCTTGACTCACTGCAACCTCCGCCTCCTGGATTCGAGCGATTCTCCTGCCTCAGCCTCCCGAGTAGCTGGGACTACAGGCATACGCCACCATGCCCAGCTAATTTTTCTATTTTTTTTAGTAGAGATAGCGTTTCACCATGTTGGCCAGGATGGCCTCGATCTCTTGACCTTGTGATCCACCCACTTCGGCCTCCCAAAGTGCTGGGATTACAGGCGTGGGCCACCCCGCCCACTCTCTTAACCACAGTCAGCTCCACGTTCTCCCTAAGCCTCTGGCTTTTGGAAATCTAAATCCAAATGCTCCCTCTCTGCCTATCTCTCTCTTCCTCAGCTGGGAAGTTGCCCTAGTTTGCTCTGGCTCATTTATATGACATTGAAAAGAGACCAAAATATAATTTTTCTAATGGCAAAATACAGCAAGAAGGAGGGGAATGTTTTAATCAACTGGGTGTATTCTCCAGCGGGGAGCAAGAACTTCATTTTAATTTCTCATTTCCCTTTGATGAAAACTTCAGTGAATTTTTATCATGTGGAATTTATAAGAAGGCTGGGTTTAGGTAATCAGCTTTAATATTTATACTCTTAGGGAAAGAAATAGGAATCATTAGCAAGCATGCATAATTAATGAATAAATTATATTTCCCTTTGTTTTCTTTCAGGTACAAGGAAATGCTAGAACTAGTGATCTCAGCCAGCCTCACTGTAAACAGCGCTTGTCTGGAGAAACTGAAGTTTCACCGTGCTGGCGTCACTGTGTGGACTCTGAGTGACAGAGAAGGTAGGCTTCCTGCTGTGAGTTTGGGTCAACAGGTGTGGTGGTCCTAGGTCACCCTGAGAATATCGTAAGCGACAGACACGCATCCTTTCCAAAGTACTGTCCTTAGGACAATTTCTCCCCCTGCCATTTAAATGCTTGCCTCTGAACCAAAACTTTGGCATGCCTCTCTGACAATTCTGTCTCATCGTTAGAGATAAAAATATGCTCGTTTGTATCTTGAACTTCCTTTCTTGGTCTCCAATTCCAAGAAATGCTGACACCACCACAGATGATAGTCACTTTGGGGTGAGTCCCAGGCCCAGCCCTTGGATGTGTTTTGCAGTGTCTGCTTCCGGCTTTGAGCTCTGTCCTCTACTCTGTTCTGCCATCCCCTTGTCCAAGCAGGCGTCTTGCTTGCAGGGGTTTGACATTAGGACAAGAACTCGTCTGCCTCTTGCTTTCAGGTCGGGTTGGAGTCAAGGAAGCAGAGAAGAATCAAAGTGGTTTAAAAAAGTATTGGCAAATGATGCAGTCGAACTAGTTTTCACTAGAACAATTCCAGCTATTGTTTGTTCTGTTTCGGATCTGTCAGCCTTCCTGGTAGAGCTTGGAGTTAGCAAAAGGCATGAAGCTATTATGTTTAACTATTGGGCTTAACCCTTTCTTTGGCTGACTTTGGGATTTGCTGCTGGTGTCCTGAGACCCCCTCGTTGTTTTTCCTTCACTATCTGTTTGACACCAACTCATAGGGCACAAAGGCTGTGTAACTGTCTTGGAAAACCAAAGTGACTTGTGTCTAGTGGAATAGAACATCACAAGGAATTGGCTTTGAAGCCAACCCAGGCTCCCACGAGTAATTATTGCTGTCAGCAAGACAATGACATTTCTCCTTACATGCTGGTTACAGAGCTGGAACTGCACTGATGAAAGTACCACCAAGTGGCTTGGGCGCTCATGCCAAAACTGGATGGTGAAGAGCACACCCTCATTCTTCCTGGCACTTTGGACCATTCTTGTAAACCGCCCTGGGGCCTTTGAGAGTTTAAGAAAATTTACTGAGCCCTGTTCAAAGACAGTCATCATTTTCTTTCCAAATAGAGACACAAGTCCACTTAAGTAGAGACACAAGTCAACTGTCTTCATTTGAGAGCGGGTAGTAACAGGAAAGGGCATAGGCTGCTGAGTGGGGAATCCCAGCCCCACTGCTTCTCAGCCAAATGATCTCAGGCAAACCGTTTAACTTTTCTGAGCCTCCGTTTTCTCACCTGTCAAATGGGGGCATAATGGCATACTTCATAGGGTGCCGATTACAAGGAGGAAGTGAGGTGATGGGATGTAAAGTGTCTGGTACACCTTGGGGGCATGGTGCATGGTTAAATGTACCATTCCATCGTCGTTCTCCTCTGAACCAAATAACCATGGTAAATTCAAAACCATGGTTGCACACAGGGCAGCCCGTAGCCACATCTGGCCCTGGAGTTTGTCTTTGTTTGGTTTACACTATGTTTTAAGTAAAAGTGAATTTGTAAAAATTGGGAGCACTCACATACAAATCTGGAGTTCTAGTTTCTCTTAAAAGGCTGAAGGCTGGCTAGGAGCAGTGGCTCACACCTGTAATCCCAGCACTTTGGGAGGCTGAGGCAGGCAGATCACGAGGTCAGGAGTTTGACACCAGCCTGACCAACATGGTGAAACCTTGTCTCTACTAAAAATACAAAAAGTAGCTGGGCATGGTGGCACATGCCTGTAATTCCAGCTACTTGGGAAGCTGAGGCAGGAGAATTGCTTGAACCTGAGAGGCGGAGGTTGCAGTGAGCTGAGATCGCACCATTGCACTCCAGCCTGGGCAACAGAGTGAGACTCCGTCTCAAAAAAAAAAAGGCTGAAGGCTTTAGCAACTCTGGGCCTCCACATTCCCTGCTGGCTGCCACTAGTAGGAGCTGAGAGGCAGCTATCCTGTAGGTGAATCCGTGCCTCTCCCTTTTGTCCTTCATTTTTATGAGCACCTACTTTCTGCCAGGCACTGTTCAAAGCAACATAACTCTAGATTCATTCTCCTCCTCCCTCTCTATCAGCGTCAGAGCAAACACTCGGCACTTGTCATGTGCCCGGCATTACTCTATTTAACTCATTTAATCTTCACAACTCTAAAAAGTGGGCCCTGTTATTATCCCCATTTTACAGATGAGGAAACCAAAATGCAGAGAGGTCAAGCAGCTTGATTGAGATGGCACAGATAGCCCAGATTTGAACCTACATAGTCTGACTTCAGAGTTTATTCTCCTGATCAGGACTCTGTACTGTTTCTCATTTAATTATTATACAACTACTAGGCTATGAGCCCATTTTACAGACATGGAAGTTGGGGCATGGAGGAGTTACGTAACCAGGTTAAAGTCATACCAGAATCAAACCCAGCCACTCTGGTTCCAGAGTTCTCGCTTGTAAACCATTTCTAACTCACTTTCTGTCAAGCCGTAAGAGTCTCCAGACCCTAGATCTTCAATTCTCGCACAGTGGTGAAATCCACAGACACACTCCTTTTTGTGACTTGGAGCTGTCAGTGCCCTTTCTAGTGCCCTGGAACAAGCTGGCTGCCATGGTGAAGGCTTTGAGGGTGAAAGCGATGGGGCAGAGAGAGGTTGCTCCCAAATTCAGAACAGGTAGCGCCAGTGAGGTCAGGTTACACACACACACTTTCTTTCTCATGGGGCAGGTGGTGAGCTCCAGAGACTCTGCAGGGGACGTTCCACCCTGGAGCGTGACCCCCAAGTGCCGGATTATGCCTCTCCTGCTGCCTGGCCTCCTGTTCTCCCTCGTCCTGGGCCATTCCTTCTATTACAGAGTCTTTACTAGGTGGCTTCAAAGATCCTACTCAAAGGAGGACCCCAGAGAGTCATGAGTCACAGGACCCGCACTCAGGGGGATTCTGGAGGGAGCCAAGAAGCTCCCCAGTGGCTTCCGTTGCATTCTCACCTCTGCTTCTTACCGGCCATGGGACCCTGGCTAGTGGCCTAACCTCCTTGAGACCCATTTGCCCCATCTGTTTAATGAGAGTAATTATTCCACCGACCTCACAGACTCAGTGTGACGATGAAATAAGTTAAAACAGGGAGTGGTTTATATTAAGTTAAAACTTATTCTATGCTTTTTAAGCACACTAAGTTTTAACTTAAAAAGCATAGAATAAGATCTGAATTCCTTATCCTTGGCCGCCAGGCCCTACTTGTCTATCCCTGGAAGCCTCCCAAACTCATCTCCCTCCCTATCGCCTTTGCTCCTTGGGCCCAGCCCCTGGCCCCTTTTCCTTTGCTTTAACTGAGAAGCATGATTCTGCGCCCTGGACCTTTGCACCTGCTGTTTCCTCTGTCTGGACCAGTCTTCACCCAGGCTCTGCAGGACCAGCCCTCCCTCAGTTCTCATCAGAGAGGTCTTTCCTAATGAAAGGAACTACCCCTTCCTTCCTTCATTTGTTCGTTCATTTATTGAACAAATGTTTAATCAGTCATGTGCCTGGCACAGTTTTAAGTACTGGGGAGACAGCATGGAAAACCCTATCCTCATGGAGCCCACACTAGGGTGCTGACAAAGCAAAAAGCTGACAATGACGATGAAGAAGTATATAGCACGTTGCATGGTGATGCGTGCTGTGAAGGAAAAAAGCAGGGGAAGAGGATGAGGAATGCAAGGGTGGAGGGTTGCAGTTTTTGTTAGGGTGGCTAGAAAAGAGCTCCCTGAGAAGATAACACTTGAGTTAAGACCTGTAGGAGGTAAGGGAGGGTGCCAGATGGCTACACAGAACAAGAGCCTTATGCACAGAGAAGACAGCAAGTGCAAAGGCCCTGAGGCAGCAGTGTGCTCAAAAAACTTTACATATATTAATACAAACATGTATACATATACATATGTAAATTTCTATTCCTGTTTAGCATGCAAGTTAGTGCCTGGCTCATGGTAGATCCTTAAAAATTATTTCTGGGTGAGTGAAGGGGTGGGTGGATGAAGACGGGGTGGGTGGATGAAGACAGAGTGGTGCTGAGGAAGCCCAGATAACTTTAGAGGCATATTGGCTCTGAATCCTTAGTAAAGTTTCCTTCACTTCCCCCTGCCTCATTTTCTACATTTGCATCGTACTGATAATAATTTCCTTGTTGGGTTGTTGTGGAGAATAGAGAGATCATGCTCATACAGTCCTTGGCACAGTAACCCTGGTTTGTTTGTAGGAACCACTTGAGAAATATTACCTATTATTCTTTACGATTCACGGGAAAAATGGATTTGAATTGTATCCTGTCTCTGAGAAGGGGTGGTGGGGAGTTACCCTGAATAGAGGAAGATTTTTCTTTTAAAATGCAAATGCATTTTTGAGAAACTGATGCTCTAATCTCATTAAGTGTTTCCAAGGAGCTGCTCTCACTTCCTGCACCTCCTCTGCCCTGGGCGTGACAAGACCTCATTTTCAGTTTCAGTCTCACCGGTTCCAACCTGGAGCTGATGGGTTTTGATTCATTTCATCCAAGCCAGGCTGAGCTGCCCAGACCTTCGCCCAGGTACTGGCCTGGGGAACCACATGTCAGCTTCATCCTTCTCACCTTTAAGGCTTTTGTAGTCGTTCACACCCAGAACAACCTCTAGCTGTGCGGAACAGAAATCCCGTTTTGTGGGGGCAAAGGGTGCATTAATCCCATCGTAGCCTCCACAGGTAAAGAACTTCCATTGGTGGCAGTAGCTCACAAATGTCACAGTCTCGAACCACTTTCTGTCGTGTATTCAGACCACCTCTATGGCCACTTGGTACTAATTTGTTCTTTTTTTTTTTTTTTTTTTTTTTTTTTTGAGACTGAGTTTTACTCTTGCCTCCCAGGCTTGAGTGCAGTGGCGCGATCTCGGCTCACTGCAACCTCTGCCTCCCAGGTTCAAGCAATTCTCCTGCCTCAGCCTCCCGAGTAGCTGGGATTACAAGTGCGCACCACCACACCCTGCTAATTTTTGTAGTTTTAGTAGAGGCGGGGTTTCACCAT